TGTCAAATAATGTCGGTTGTCGGATTCCGTTATCAGTTTTTCAAAATCAGGGCTCCCTAATATTTTAAGAGCGATTTAATGGAATTACAAATTAAAGAGAAACAGAAATAAGCTATGCGGGGAGAGAAGGGTTCCGTCCAATCGGAACAGATGGTTTGTCCCAGACAGTACGTCGCGCCTTTATCTTACCTACATAAAGAAATAAGGCGCGACGTCCTGTCTGGGACGCACCATCTGTTCCGATTGGACGGAAACCCCGTCACCCCGCAGAGCTTATTTCTGTTTCTCTTTAATTTATCATTCCATTAAATCGCTCTTAAAAAATTAGGGAACTCTAATTTTGAAAAACTGACAAGGGAATCCAATAACCGACATTATTTGACATATTTTGGTCAAATCAGCGAGGAAATCCACCCAGCCGTTTTCGACATAACGGCGTCTTACTAAACCGCGATTTTCCGCGAAAATGTATGGAATATCGAAAAAATAAAATATGCCACTCATTAAGAACACACCAGGCTACCACCTGTTCAAAATTCAAATTTTTTCGTACGATAGTTTTCGAGAAAAAAAATTGCAAAGTTAACAAAGTTGCCGGTACCGTAAAAAATCGTGTACTTTTTTCATTTAACTCGCGATAAAAGGAAAATCGTAGATCCGAAAATTTTCAAATTAACATATGTTACGTAGAAATGTTCAGTGATTACAACAAACTTTGTCGCATTTCTTTTTATCGAGCGGTTGCGAAGATATCGATCTCTAAAGTGAGGGGCCTTGACTTTTTGCACGGATAGTAGACATATAAAGTCCTATCTAATTGGGGGCTGGAGAAATTGGGAGCTCTCTTTATACATTATTGAACTAGCGCTTATTACGTACTTTTTATACTTTTTGCTATTTCTTTTTAATACAACGGCATATTTTAAAATAATTCTATTGCTCAACTACTTACACTAAAAAGACATTTACGCTCATCAGGTATCACATTGCGAAAGGTCAACAATTAACACGTGCTCAATTTATTTATTTATAGGTACTCTTTTATATTTAAAAAATTGAAGACGTATTAATTGTTTAAAATACGATAAAACTAAGTATCTCACATCGTTTATTTTATTTTTTTTTTTATTAACAAGGGACAATACTTTCTTAAATTGTGTGATCATAAATGATTGAGTTTCAAATTCTTTCTCAAAAACATGAAACTGGAATGTAATCATATATCAATCATTTTGTGATCACCTAAAACATCTTGATTGTTTATTTCTATGTATTTATATTAACTTTTAATAATTTCCATTTAATCATTTTTATTTGTTTGTCACTTGTTTCGATTATACAATTTAATTAAAATTATATCTACAAATATATTTTTGCACTTTAAAATTATTTTTTTATGTCTCTTTGATTTACATTTACGAACTCATTACATTTTTAATTACTATTATTAAAGGTGGTTGGTCGTTTCATTTTATTTAAATTTTAAGTTATTTTCTTTTGGCATGCAAAATGTAGATATAGATTATATAAAATAGTATAAAGATTTTTTTTGATTATGATAGAAAGAAATTTGAATTTTTGGCACTTACAAAAAAGAAACGTTCTTTTTCTCAACCACCCCCCTAATTTAGACAATTTAGATATTTTTATTTCACGCCATCTCATAATGATTCCGATGTAAAACCGGCGAATCTTCCGATTGATAACCAACGTTCGATTGTTGTTGATAATTTCTTTGTTGTTGTTGCATCAATAATTGTTGTTCTCTTGCTTGTCGATATTGTTGGTACTCCCTCGCTTGTTGATATTGCAATTGATGCGTATAAACTTGTTGTTGAATCAATTCCCCATTGGAATAAACGTGATTAGGAATGGCAGCAGACGAAGATACCCCTCCATAAATATTTTGATGATGAGGAATGTTACTTTGTCTATTAGAATTATACAGTCTTTGAGGTTGTTGCTGTTGAGTGTTCACCAAACCTTGATATGGATAATTTAAAAGTTGATTTTGATGAAAGTTTTGTTGGATTTGGTGAGTTTGATGCGGAGGGCTGTGGTACGTTGAAGAATTATATACAGGATGATAATTGATATGCGGATTAACACCGTAAGATTGATGCACAACACTTTGATTGATGATCGGCTGTTGCTGTTGTTGATAGGCTCGTTGTTGCTGTCGAATTTCCACATTTCGAATCGTGGAAAATTTATCGTTTGGTCGCCAGTTTTTCTTTGGAGTTGCCGGAAGCGACCGTGAACCGGCACTCGCTGTTTCCCAATCTTTTAAAAGAGCTGTTAATCGAGCAGTTTCAGCTGCCTTTTCTGTTTCACTAGACGAATCATAATCTGGACCCTAAAAAAAAAGTTATCTTAAAAAAGTAAATTTTTTTTATATTTTCTTACATTTTCAATTTTTTCATCTAACATTTTGAAAAAATTCTGTTGACTTGACGACAATTCCCTGAAACAAAGCAAAGAAATTTCTATAATATTTTTTTAATTAATAAAATAGAAATTTTACTTTTGAGCAAGCAGTGGTCCGCCAATTGGCTTAATTTTTATTGTCTTCCGATCGACATCGTCGACATCTTCTCTATCATCTGTTTCATTTTCAATCGTTTCTTCTTCTTCGGATTCGTCTTTTTCTTGAGTAACTAATGAAAAAATAATTATAAGATAATATTAAGAGATATCCTACTCCCAAAATCCATAGCGGATGTGTTGTAAATACGGGTTAATAGCGATTTGTTGCAATTATACTTTTAAAAATAGATACAAAACTCATGCAATATTGTTTCATCAATGATGTTGCATCCAACTTTAAACGCAAATAAAGTTGAACGAAGAATTATTCCAATTAACGCGACGCAGCCGAACTGAACCCTCATTTACACATATTCATTGAAGAAATGAAGCAAATGAAAGAAAAACACATTTACTTATGATATTATAAAGATAAAGAGAATTTTTTTAACATGTAAATTTGTTTTGGAAATTTGGCAACCAACCAATAAACTGTCAGATGGTTACTTAACGAGCTTTTGTACGGTAATTCGGTTAATTAGTCGTTTATATCCGATCCCACAAAGAACTTTAGCGGTCTCGTTAACGTGTTACGATGACAATTCGCCTCATAAATCTTTCGTTACCCTTCTTCTTTTTCTTTTAACTTTTTTTTTAGAACCTGTCGATTCGATAACGAGTTAAAAAAAAGTTGCGATCACATTTCTTTCGTTTTTCTTTCATTCCCTCGATTTGATTCGAACCATTCTTCTTGTTTGATTTTAAATAAAAATTAGGTAAACTAATACGATTATCTAAACAGAAAACCATCGATAGTTATAGAAAGAAAAAGAAGTGATGCAGTAAATCACCGGATTTCGTTTGAACCCAATCCGCCTATTGTTTATACAGTCGATTCAAGTGGCATTGAACGTATTGCACAAATAATCAATCGGGATTTGATCGATTGTTTGTTCAAAGCTTCGAAACTTCGTACTTTGCGTGTAAATTTAACGTCATTTGAAGAACTCCGGAAATGTTTTCAAAAAAGCCTTCATCAATATCTTAATGTATATCTTAGTAGACTGAAAATTATAAAAAAAAATCTTACCTGTTTTTTTGTTATTATTTTTATTTCTTGATCTCTTCGGATAAATATTAATCTTGCTGTGACCACAGCCCATTATTTTATCAACAAAACCGTTTCCACGAGTTTCATTCCATTAAGAGGAATGTGTTGCGATAATTTTCTTTTTTAACCCTTACATCGTTGATGCCTCTTTCTACGTTTTCTTAACATGTGGACGTTCCTTTTTGATTGATCCACAAACATCTAGAGATAATTTAAAAAAAGATTTAAAATAAAAGTAGAAACATTTTTCATACAATGTTTCATAGAGATAACGTTTTTCCAGTGTTGTTAAATACCCGGGTATTTATTTTCAAGGGAAAATTCCCTGGATAAATACCCGGGGATATTTACCCAAGATGGGTATTTAGAGGTATTTATAAAATTTAATGCAGAATCCATTATCGATACACCAAACTTATTTATAACATTTACAAGAATGCAACAATGACGGTAAAATTGCATGAAAGTACTGACCGAATACCTATTGGGCATGGGGTAAGACAAGGCGATATAATGTTGAACCCAAATTCTTCATCACAGTCCTGGAGAGTGCATTTAAACAACTGGATTGGACCCAAAACGGTATAAACATTGATGGCAATACCTAAATAATTTGCGCTACGCGGACGATATAGTTCTTATTTCGGATAGCCCTGGAGAGATAAAACTGATGCTGAACGTATACAGGAGGCGTGTGCAAGAGTCGGGCGAAATATCAACAAAATTTAGGACAAATCTTCTTCCAAGCTCTAACATCAATATTGGTGATAATGAATACTTCTATCTTGAATACGTTCGATAGTATGTCATTAATCCCTGATGCCTTTCCATGTTTTGACGCAGTGATTGCGTTTTGAACCTCACTGATTGATATAGGTTTCATGACACTATCCTTTCTTGGTTGTGACGGACTGCTGTCTATTTCCAAATCAGTTTCTATGCTTAATAGGTTTTGAAAATAATCTTTCCACATGTCATTCATTTCACTATCACATATTATTTTTCCTGTTCCGTCTAACAAATTTATACACATTCCTGGTGTTATTAGCTTTAAAGTGTACATATATTTCGGGAAAGTTTATATTTTCACTACCAACCATTCTCGTTTACGTAATACTCTTCGAAAATATTTAACGATTTCTTTAATGCTTGAAAAACAACTTTGAATGTCCTGAATTGAGTATAAGTCTAATATTAATGACTAAATTCAGTTTTTGTGCTTCATTAATTCTTGTTGTTTGATTCTTTTCTAGTCATATTGCACTTCCATCAAATCCAAGATTGCAAGATCCATGAGATTGTTGATTTCCATAAGATTTTATTATTCTTCTTCTTTTATTCAAGTTGTAACCTGTTTTTTACGCATCATTCATGGTGTTTCATTAGAGCTGGAAATACAACTTCCGGGCTCCCAGGATCTCTTTCTAGCTAATCTTTGGTCTCTTGCTGTCTCAATCAGCCAGGTTTCTTCCATTCTTTGGAAGTATTCATTAAATTTTTTTATTTTTCCCCTAGCAAATCTCATGACATATCCGAATCCACAAAATTCTCTTACAATTTTGTTCCTAACTTTATCTCTTCTTGTCTTTTCCACTATTGTTCTTAAAGTACTCTTCTCAGTTGGTTCGCATCGCAGCCACATATCTTGGCCATGAGGTTCGTGTATCGAAAGATAATAATCAAACAAGCGAACTAAACAGAAGGATGATACTCGCATGGGCAGCCTACAGGAAACTTAAAGACATCTTCATAAGCGATATACCTGTATACTTGAAAAGAAAGGCTTTCAATCAATGCGTGGTTCCTCCTTTGGTTATGACATACGGTTCTGAAACTTTAACATTAACGGTGGACATTACCAGGAGGCTCAAAGTAATGCAAAGAAAGATGGAAAGGTCGATGCTGGGTGTAACCCTGACTGACCACATACAAAATGAAGACCTACGAAGAAGAAGTGGCGTAAATGATGCGGTCAACATTGTGGCAAAGCTTAAGTGGAACTGGGCGGATTATCGTCGCAAGAATGAAGAATGAGCCGTAGTTACCTGATTATCTTCAACGCCCATATCATCATGTTCCTCTACATTTTTGTCAGAATCTGTTATATTTTTACTTGTATCACTTTTATATGTACTGTTTGGGTATTTACCCTGGGCCAGGGTAAATACCCAGATAAATACCCATTTTATAAATACCTACCCGCCGGGTATTTACCCAGCGCCCATCACTGCGTTTTTCATACACATTTTTGGAAATATTTGTGCTAATTTTTTTGGCAAGCTTTTTTATGTGTTTTATTTTTCACCTTAAGAATATCTTATATTTGTTTCTAAGAAATACATTCAAGAATAAATTTTTCTTGAAAGTCAAGAATAATTTCTCTCAGTGTAGGAGACAGTTGGAAGCTTGTTGACAAGGTAGAAATAAATGCTTTCTTTGGATTACTTATTCTTGCGGGTTCCTTCAAAGCAAACCATGAGCCAATATTGGAATTATGGAGTACTAAATATCCATCGTTTCAAAGACCAATATTTTGTGCCACAATGTCTCCCAACAGAATGTAATCTACATTCATATGATTTGACGATTTAGCAACCCGACCAGACATGACATATTCATGACATTTTTGCTTCAAACTGTAAGAAGTGCTACATTCCTAATGCTGGAATTTGTAGCGATGAGCAGCTTGTGCCTTGTAGAGGAAGGTGTCCGTTCAGACTATATATAAAATTCCAACCTGATAAGTATGATGTCAATGTGCGATTCAACAAATTCATATTGCTGGAATCCACAGGTGTACATTACATTACATAGATTACATATCTGGTAGGCGGACCAACCAACTTGCACAGCGACCCTAAGGATCTATTGTATCCCGTTATCAAATTTCATCGTGCAATCTAATGCTCTTAACGAACCTTAATACCTTGCTCACTAAAAAATCATTCAGATCCTTTGGGGAGATAAATTGCTACCCAAAAATCTAGAATCTGATAATGAATCTGGAATTCAACATCGTCGGTTAGACCCAACAAGTTGAGGTGTGTTTTTAATCGGCAGTGCCCAGTAAAGACACCCATTAGATCTTTAATGCTGCTACGACCAAGTCCTAAATTCCTTTGAGAAAGGAATTTCTTCACCTTGGATAGTTGGGCGGATTGGTCCATCCATCTTTCGCCTCCTGGTGAAGGGCACAACGATTATCGATTGCGGGTTTATCGTGAGATTCTTTCCCTTACACCAAGCGCAAATGGTGTCTAAGGTCACCTGGAGGACTTTGGACATCCCCGACAAACAGGTTCCTTTGACCATAATGACAATGTCATCAGCATAAGCTTATATTTCTGCACCAACGGCTTCGACTATCGCAATCAGATCATCAAACAGAAGGGACCAAAGCAGGGGATATAACACCCTTCCCTGTGGACAGCTACCTCCCGGCCTGAAACGTATCGTATCCTTTCTGAACTAGAAACTATTCTACTAGCAAGCATATTGCGGATTCCATCCGCAATAGTTGCTTCCGTTCCACTTCCCTGTCAAGAGCAGCTGTTTCAACAGATTGTGGTATTGCGTTGTTGAACGCACCTTCTATATCTCTAGAAACGCACAAACCAAGATCTCTTTATACTGGAGCATTCTGGATACTCTACCAACAAAGCTGTGTAAAGACAATTAATTTTCCCGCTTGGTAAGCGTAATGGTGGCGACTCAGTGGACCAAATATACCGTTCCAGAACTTTTTCAAGGGTTTTCAACAGAAATGACGTCAAGCTGGTACGACGTCAAAACAGGTAACAATAACAAAGCAGGAAATATATTGTCTTCTCCGGACGATTTGAACGGCTTAAACGTTTTGGTCGACGGATGTGCAAGAAACGACTTTTCTAGCCACACTCTGCTGGCGTCCGTAAAACTACTGTCAGACCGCTTAAGTGAGCCAAAACTAACTAGAACTAACTCTAGGCCTAGAAACATTCTCGTTTAGCCATCTTAAGAGACGAACGGTTCTAATTTTGGATCAATTAACACCGAATATAAAAGCTTTCATATTTATAAAAAAACATTTATTGAAAATAAAGAAGACGCAAAAATTACAATTACGTGTTCCCTTCGAAATCGATACCGCGTTTTAGGGTCACGTAGGCCATATTCTCGGGTGATGCTTCTCCCCTTTTTGTTTCCGCTTTGTACGGTGTGGTAAATTTAATAAATAAATTTTGATTTTAAGAAAAGAGTGGGTGATTGCTTTATAAATAGTCGCATGCTGAGTCCTCGTAAGCGAGGTCTCACCTGTTCAATCTACTTCCATTAAGTAGGTGAAAATAAACGTCAGCACAAAAATAGATTCGACATTCGTCGCGTATTTACGCGAGTTATCTTTTTGCTGCAGCTTTTTACGTTATCAAATTTAGGGGAAATTTGTTTAAAATCTAAGTAAATCATCAATTTGTGGCAATATTTCGTGGAAAGCACGTCTGGGGACTTCCCGGTATCGGCACGGGAATTTCCGTCGAAAAGTTTCGTTCAAAGTCCCATGGCGATTAGACGACGTTTCCGTGTCGGTTCTAAATTTATTACGGAATGACGCGAACTATTGATTTTACACCCAACGAGAATGATTCGTTCGCACACGCGGAAGTAGGTCCGAGACGATGAGGATGGATCTTTCCATCCTCTTTCTCTTTAGATATTTTGAATTAATTTTCTCACACAAATCTGTAACATTGAATTCTTTAACAATCCGTGACAACTCCGGCACCCAATCAAATTCTATTTGCTTTTAAAGTATCGAATTGTACTTAAATTTTTTTCTAATATTAATGGATCGATTTCTTCATTTTTTACGGCAATTTAAATAATATAGAATATTCGTAAACACTCCGGATGGATCGCAATCACATAAAATTCGAGTAGGCCTATAAATATTTACGGTCGAATCGAAAATAAGTTTTGCGGCAATAATTTTAGAAAATATTGGCCCCAATCCAGAGTGAAAAAAATTTTAATATGGAAATTTATTCCAAGCTTTATGTTTATTTAATATAGTTTGGAAAAAAAAACGTGGCACCGTGTTAGTTTACGAGTGTTTGACTTTTGTGGTGACATCTCGTCCCCAATTTTCTCTTTATTTCACCGAGTTAATTTACTTGTTGGACGAGAGAAAAGTTTTTATTTTCTGTCAACTTAAACATGCATTAAGATAGCAAGGTTAAAACAATTTAAAAAATAATTTATTCCCCTAAAATTAGATCTTTATTTATTATAATGGATTTAGGGTATTAAAAAGCATCTTTATAGAATTAAATTAAAGTGGCGAGTTAAATTTGGGTTTGTCAAATAATTACAAGATACAAAATAGATAACGAAGTACTGGTAGCGTTTTAATATCTCGAAATACTAGAGCAAATAAACGTATACCAATAGGGATTCGCTCATAAACCCGATTAGTTACTGCCCCTCCGCTAATAAATTATTTTCACCGATATTAACGATAACTCATTTACGTTCGTTCCTGGTTTTATCGCTTATTTTTTCATCTCAATCACAACACTGTCAAAATTTCAATTAAACATTTAATAAAAAATAAAACTCACCTAAACTAAAATAATCAACAATCCAAAATTTTTCAGAAACATTCACTAACAAATAAAAAATCCACTTAAACAATTAATCATTCAAAACCTTGTATTTAATCAATAATTTTTAAACATTTAAAAATTAATACGATATAGTAATTGAATATCGTTTAATCGTTTTCCGTTTTTTCTTTTCATTAGAGGCGGGCGGTTTCTTAATTTCGCGTCCTACGGGTGCTTGCCGCCACCTGACTGACGCCGTTGAACAAGGCGTCGCGACGCCGCCGACGGCGCGTTCGGATCGAGTCGGCGTAACATCGACCCCGGGTGTGTTGTGTGTGCAGATGGGGTTTTCCTCTTCCTCTAATTCCCCCCTTGATTCCCCGGCTAGCTTTTTCTTTGTCGACGTCGCGACCGACGTTCGTCCCCTGATCTTACCCTCTACGTCTCATCTTCAACCCTATTTCGATGCAACCTCGTAGTACTACTAGGTGAAGTTGTATCGTGACGAGATTTTCTTTTTTGTCTTTGCCGGTTAAGTGGTCGCCAACGATGAAAGTCCGTCATATAAAAATACGTTATTAAAACAGTTTTTTTTATGATGATAACTTTAACATATTTTTTTTATAATGATATTTTCTAATCAAATCCATATTCGAATCGAAAATCCCTTTCCATCTGTTTCTTTCAATTGATTCTGTTAAACCTAAGTGACCTGTTTGAGTTGATATTATATTAGGTATAGAGTGTCGGCCGTAAGCGATCACGGTTTAACCAGATGAAATCATTCATTACCACAATTATCAGACACGACTTAGGGCCGGTTGTACAATACGCTGATAAACTTCCCGATTTCTTCCGCGTTTTCTGGCCGATAAGTTAGTTTGTACTGTACAATGTACGGATATTTTTGTCGGGGAAATTATCGTCAGGATAACTTATCGGGTACTCAAGATGGTGCCGATAAGACAGTTATCCGCCAGATATCTATGGTTACCAAGGTTTTTATATAACAACATTGAAAAACCTAGTCTGTCGTGAATAACTTTGGTTAGTTTGTTGTTATGAAAGGAAAAAAAAAACGTGCTACTAATTATACACAAGAGGAGTGTTGACGATTAATTGAAATAGTAGAAAATGTTGCTAATATTATAGAATATAAATAATAATTGGTTCTAGTTATAGATGACATTGTGGAAGGAAAAAATAGTTGGAATCATTAGTCTCCTGTCCAATTAAAAAAAGCCTAACATTGAGCTTTGCAAACCAGAAAAAGAAAAAGACCTACTAAAAACATAAATCTTTCTGCTACTGGGCAAAACATTCTGCCTTGGCTAGACACTACAGCTAATCTAACAAATTTAAAAATGAAATTACTACAAGAAGAAACAATCTCAAATTAACAAACAACTAATAGAAATAAATAACCTGACTATTAAAAAAACATTACTAAAAACAGCTTTATCATTAAAAATTCGCTACATCTTTTGTTAAATTAATTTATTATAAAATTATTATTAAATAAATAATACGATTCTATAACATTTCTAATACTTGAAAAATATTTAATAAACTCAGACAGTGCTCTGCAATTATTATCGTCTGCATTGCCACCATGAGCGTATCCATCTGGAATGTTTTCCTCATCTTCGCCATTTAATATAGCGAAGTTATGTAATACGGCACAAGCAACAATTATCGCTTGTACCCTGGACCCCCCATAATTTAATTTAAATTTAATTCCTAACGACAATATGGGAAATTGTCAGTTCTTCTCGTGCGACGTAATGCCTCTTCAAATAAGTTTTCCTGTGGTAACGTAGGGTTTGGCAACGGCGTAATTAAGTAGCGTGATAATCTGTAGCCACTGTCGCCCAATAATATTTTATTTTGAAAGCCGAAACCGTCTAAAAAAATCCGTTTCATCCCACTGCGCAATGTGGTTAGGTCGTTGTTTAAATTCTTTTTCTTTTCTTCTACTTAAAAACACATTAACTAAAAATTTGTTTTCGAACTGTCTACTGCTACAGTAGCAGTAGCCAGTAATTTGTACGATAGTAGTATAATACTAGTATCGTAGAAATTAAACATTTTTCTATATTTTCAAGATGCTATTAGACTGCCTAAGTCTGACGTCACAGAGATGGGCGAAGCTTATACTGATTCCAAACATTTGCGTTGCTAACGATAAATCGCCAAAAAATGTCATTTGAAATGTCATCACTTAGTTTATTTTATTTTAACACTAATGAAAAATTGCATATGGTGATTTACCGTTAGCAACACAGTTAGCAACGAAAATGTTTGGAGTCGGTATAAGCTGCGCCCATCGCTATGACGTCAAGGCTTAGGTTGTCTATTGCACAGTTTACACAATTGTTATTATTGTCCAAATCAGTTCAAATTAAAAAAAAAAGACGTTAATGTTACCAATCTACGGCACAAATTACTAGATACCCGGCCCTTAATCAGATAAAATCCGTTCATTCGACAATAATTAGACAAAGTCATGGATTCTCCATTCTATTTGCTTTATAGGTCTTATAGACGAAGACATATTCACTAAAGCTTAAAGATAAATTACCAATTTTGGTTGTCGAATTTTGCTATAATAAATGTATATGTTGGAGACAGATGACGAATTCGGCCCGTGGCCGATTTATTTAGACATATCGGCATATGTCTAAATCTGTTAGGTCACATGACGAAAAAATGATACAATCGGGATCTGACCATATCAGTTTGAACACGTCCCGATATGTACATTTGCACAATGCGCCGATCCGATCGGAACTACACATAACCTTTGTTGGGATGTTTATGAGGGACATCACTTACGTGCAGTATGTTTATTAGTACGTTTTACTGTTTTTAGCAGTTAAACATATCCCGAAATGTTAATTGTTGCTTTGGTCATATGAGAAACAAATGCAATATAGGAACTAACATAATATTTATTTTATTACTTATTGCGACATGAAGTACTTGAATGATATTTACCGTTACATTTCAAGTTCTTTAATAAGCATTTGCACTTTTTATTACTGCACTGTTTACGACAGTTGCATCTTACAAACCCCTGGGAAGAATTTGATTCTTTTGCCGCCACCGTTCGCAAACTGAGTTTATTTTCGATGGGTACATCTGAAGATGTCAATGAGTTCGTTTGAGAAGGCTGAAAAGAAAAACCTTATTACCGTTTAAATATATAAAATATTAGTTAAGTACATACCTGGAATTCATTCCTTGCATATAGTTTTTCCAAGACGACAGTTGATGTACCAAGTTGGTATAAATCATCTTTCTCGGACAATACAACAGCCAAAATGTTACGAGGAGCTAAGCGTCCTCTGTCGACATCAGGAATCTTAACTAAAACGTTCTGCCCAATTTCCATTTTTGGGAATTTGGAACAACTTTGCTGTAACATTTCTGTTGCTTGCTTTTTTAAATATGCAATACTATGAGATCGATGTTGATTTATTGATTTTAATCGGATTTCGTTGTTCCTAAAATGAAACATATAATAATAATAATAATAAGCAATGTAAATTCTCTGCGTTTTTTAGGTTACCTCAACAATTCTTCCTCAACATCATCATTTTTGGAATAATTTATGGGAAAGCTTTCTTGTACATCTTTTTCATTTCCTCCATCACTGTTTTGAAATTCTGAATCTGATTTTTTAGATACTACCTGTTCTATGTTTCTACCAACACTGCTTTCTAATCTATAAATGTCGTCCTCATCGTGTAACTTCTCTACAATTTCAAGCGGAAGATTTGAATCTTTTAAGCCATTAACAAGTGGGATGCCAAACATAGCCTCGTATGGAGTACGTTGGATGCCTCGGTGAAATGATCTATTCTTTTTTCATTGCACAAATCTTAGACCTTCTGCCCACTTAGTTGTCTCATTTTCCTGCATCCAAGTAATTAAAATGTCTCTTACATCTTGGTTCGCTCTCTCGATGGACCCTTGGCTTTGAGAATGACGTGGTTTACCATGAATTATTATTGCTTGAAACATATCTGCAAGGCTAGTAATTACTTGATTCACAAATTCTCTGCCATTGTCACTATGAAGCAAGCAAGGTGCCCCGACTATGCAAAAAATATCCATCAAGTTATATGCTACTTCTTCTGCCTTTTTAGTTTTTAGAGGTTTTAAAAACACAAATTTTGTGAGGTGGTCTTGGTAATTCATGATAAACTTATAAGTGCCATCCGGTTCTGTTTGCATATCAATAAGATCAATTTGTCCCCTTTTATTAAATCCTGTAGAAATTATTGGTTTTACTACTAATCCTTTCTGCTTCGATTTTTTATTTGAAATTATGTGCTATGTGTCAAATACCACATAATTTCAAATACTCTTCAATGACACTTCTGGGAATATTACAATATTTCTTAGCAATTTCTTTTTCCATTCCTAATCTTCTTTTATGGCCAGTATATTTATGAACTTTTTCTAAAATGCCGTGTACCTCCGTAACATCGCAATAATACCTTATTAATACCTTATTATCTATTCAAACGCCTGTAATCTTGACAACTTAGTTTTTCCTTCGTCTGTTTCTTTACTTGATTTAAAATACTTAAATAATGCTCAACAGTTAGTACGGTGGTAAAATTATTAGCGCCACCATTTTCAATTAATTTAAAAAGTTTAGTTTCAAAAATTTGTTTTTCAACTAAATATTTTTCACGTTCCATATTTAAAGTCAACCACTTTATATTTAAAACTTTATAACTTCGGTAACTGCTAAAAACAGTAAAACGTACTAATAAACACACTGCACGTAAGTGATGTGCCTCATAAACATCCCAAAAGAGGTTATGTGTAATTCCGATCGGATCGGCGCATTGTGCAAATGTGCATATCGGGACATGTTCAAACTGGTCAGATCCCGATTGTATCATTTTTTCGTCATGTGACCTAACAGCTTTAGACATATGCCGATATGTCTAAATAAATCGGCCTCGGGCCGAATTCGTCATCTGCCTCCAACATATACATAATTTAGACCGCGTAGTTTGTCGTATTTTCAAGTTATTTTACTCGCATATACAAACACACAATTTTAGATTTGCAATTTCGGCCAACCTGGCGAGACACGTTTACCATGTTAAAGAGAGTTTTAGTTTAAAGGATTTTGCACATCAAATTGTTACTTAATAATTTAGTATCAAGAATTTTAAAATGAATAAAGTAAGAAACAATGAGTTGTTTTTAAAATCTGATTGAGTGTTTTGTTTGAAACAAATCGTTAGGATTATTTTTGTAACAATTCCGGTTGCAGGCATGGCAATAAATCTAAGTCCTAGTCAGTATATTGACTTTTGGTTAGATCTCTTTAGTTCCACAATAAACACGTCCGCGGGCAAACTCTAATGAACGGCAGACGATTGTTGAACGGCCGCCAAAATCTAAACACTACACCGACGAGTTACTTGCACCGAGCATTAACTTGATTTACATTCGTGTTTTGTCACGCATTTCTTTATAAAATTAAACAACATTATTTTTTCTTCTTCTATTTGTTGTATTTCTTTTTCTTGTATTGATTGAAGGCAAAAAGTAAAAAATGATGTAAAAAAATCGACGTTAAAGCGTTTTTATTACGAATGTCTGAGTTCGCGTAAATAAAATATTAATAATAATAGCAGAGTCGTAACTCAGTGGGATATGTGGGCGAGTCGTCTGCTTGGATTCATTTCCAAAATTCCGCAGTGAGATGTTATTCTTGGAGCCTCTAAAACTGTTTTTGTTCATTAACCTTAGCACATTTCAAAAATTAACATTCGCAAACCGACCAATAAAATTTTAAATTATTACTAAACTTGAAACGTTTACACCACAAATTATCCAAACTATTTGCATTATTTTTGTAACATATGGGAAGAAAAAAATTAAAATCTAAACTCTGTATTAATGTATTTGTAAAAAATTACAATTTACAAAAGAAAACCTTAGGTTTCTAAGATTTAACCCACTTTTTGGATTAATCAATGTACTCTAATAAATTTTTAAATCAACTTATTTGTACTTATCAAGAGGTAAGGAAGTGAATTGACCACAAAGATTAAAAATTAAAGATTAAATAATTGCACAAAAACATAAAATAAGAAATTAATATAAAAAAATTCCATGAAAAAAAATTAGACACACATCTTGAGTTACTTATAAAATAAAAGACAAATTAATTCAAAATCAACTTTTTAAAAGAAAAATTTCATTTAAAACACTTTCGGGATAAACATTTTCCTCACATTTTCACAATACCTATCCCATCCGACTTCGTACCTTTGTTTCAACCTAAACTCAACTCTTGTCGTTCGATAAATCAATGCCGGAATCGTACATAAAATGTAAATCAACAAACCAGATCCGCACGTAAACGGAGCATAACTTAAATTCATCATAATTTCGCCAAAATAATTCGGATGTCGAACGATTCCCCAAAAACCCCCACACAATAATTTTTTTCCTTGGGAAGTTTGTATTGTAGATAAATCTATAAATTAACAACAATTAAAAAACATGATTCCAACATGAAGAGTTCAAATTTACTTACAAGAAACACTCGAATGAAATGGATTCACTCTAAACCAATATTTTTGATTCATACTCCCTCGATTTATGATATATCCAATAAAAAATACCAAACAAACCAATCCCAAAATGTAGGGATTTAATTGTAATCGAGCATCGTGAACGTACTTTGGTATTAATCCATATAAAAATAAGGTGCTCATAAAATAAACGTTCGTTAAGTACCCATGTCCTTCATGGCGTATTTCGAAGGTACTCGCCATAACTTTCTCATAAAATATTCGATCAAACATTGTGATATAAGTCATAAAACAAATGGCCAACAAAGAATAATTTAAATTTAATGAGTGAATGTTACTTAAATTTGGATATAATGCGACGATTTTGTTTATATCAAGACTTTTCGATAAGATCGCTGTTGTTAAGATGCTCTGAAATCAATAAAAAAAGGTTAAAGAAATTTATTTTAAATCTATAAGTACCAACGAAAGCTGTTAACTCAACTAGGTAAAAGTAACACTAGAACTAAAACTAGAACTGACGTGATAGTGTTAATTCTAGATTTACTTTTAGTTCTATTTTACTTACCCGACCAATATAAACCAATCGAATTAAATAAATCTTCATATGAACTCCAAAAATCACCGGACTAACTTCTTTCCCAATAAAAAAATTATAAATAAAACTATCGGTATCTCCCATAATATTTAGCGCACTGACAGGGACATAATGCGCTTTCACAAACAACACAACAGAAAGAAAAATCCCAAACAACAATCCTCCCGCGGTTAGTTGCAAATAATGCCCATTAACATAATCAAAAATCTGAAATCCATAAAATTCCAAACCAAAAACTACGCCCAAACTAACGACAAAATTAATAATTCCATTTGCAACAAAATTCGACGAAGCAAAAATTTTTAATTGACCCTCCGGTTTAGGACCAAACCGAATCATGGAAACGATAAAATTAATTAGTGCGAAAATTGCAAATCCAAGATACGAATAGAGATCAAAGTAAAAAGGAATTTTCGATAAATTTGGGTAACTTTTCATTATAGTATATTGAGCAATTGTTATTGTAAATAACGGTAGGAAAACGATCAAAAAAAGGGTTCCCCACATCCCTCCATATTCAATACGAAATTGTAAATTTGGTTTAAAAATGGGTTCCATCAAATCGATACGCTTTGATAACGGAACATCATCTTCATCGGAATACTCGATCAATTTCGATTCGCGTTTTGTAAAAAAATCTTCTTTTAAATGAACGATTTTGTCGCTTCCTATTCCTTTATCAATTTCTTTTGGTGTCATCGATCGTGTTACTCTCATTGTTAACCCATCCAAATCTAAATTGCTCAATGCTGATCTTACCGAAGTAATTTCTTTACGTATACTTGTCCTTGTTCTTCCTCTAATCTGTGTGGAGGGCTTAGGTATTTTTGTTTCAACATCAGAATCAGTATCAACATCTAAAATAGGTGTACTCGTGGTTATTTTAGTTAATGAAGGTTCTTTAAATGACTCTGTACGGGGTATTCTACTTGGACTTTTTTTACTTGGCGTCCCCCTAGCTGGGCTACGTTTTTTTGTGGGTGTTGTTATCATGCTTTCGGATTTTCTGGAAGGGCTCTTACTTCCCGAGCGTTTCCCGCCAGTTTTTGGGGTCCGAGCGGGACTCTTTTTTCGTGCCGGCGATCTTGTAGGACGGCTTCTTCGACTTGCACGAATTGTTTCCTCTTTGGGGACCCTACCTGACATCTAAAAATATAAATAGAGGTTAGAACGTTTAAAAATAGACGCGAAAAAATTAATTAACCAAAATAATTAATTATTTGGGATTTTTAAACGCTTACCTTTATAAATTAATGAGGAAATTTGTTCGTAAGACATAAAATTGAAGACTAAAAGGAAAAAGACGCTTATTTTAACGAAGTGACGCTTCTGATCAAAGCACGCTATGATTGTTTCGAAATAACGTCTCCCCATTGGTCGCCAATTACTATTAGGGTCGAAACAACAACCGTATTTATATTTTTCTTATATAAACGAAAATAATTTTGAATTCTTTTATTACAATAAAAACATTCTTTTTATCTTAATTATCATAATCCATGTAACCGATAACAATTACTAATAAAACCAACAAAATGATAAATCGTTGAAGTGATTCCCAACTGTCATTTGAGAGTTGACGTTTGACAACAGCTATCATTTTATTAATTCGATAAAATGGCTTTAATATTCAGGTAAGTTTCTAAATGTTTCAGTTAAAGTTATTAAAATAATCACCTCACTTAATAATCTTATAAAATAAACATTTAATTACATACAAAAATTTTATAACCTAAACTTTTTTCTTTGATTATGTAAGGCTTCATCAAAACCGACAACTTCTCAAATATGTTGCGGCGAATAAAAGTTTGATTCTTTTGGCACGACCAGTTACAATAAAAGCACAACCGGCACCTCCTCAATCATGCGAGGGTTACGACGAGAGGAACATGAAAATTGGAAGACCTCTATCACCTCATCTACTCATTTATAAACCGCAATTAACAGCAATGTTGTCAATTACTCATAGAGCAACAGGTTAAAAACATATTATTTTATTTAAATGATAAAAAAAATTGTTGGTTTTAGGAATGGCACTTGGTTTTTATTTAGTTTGTTTAAGTGTTGGAACAATGTTAACATCCCACGATCTCATGTATTACATGTCATCTTTGGAGAATATAAGTTGGTTTACTCACTTTATAGGAAAAATGTGCTTTGCTGTACCTCTCGCTTACCATTATGTAAATGGAATTCGTCACTTGGCTTGGGATATGGGCAAACTCCTTACTATTAAAGAAGTTTATTCAAGTGGTTATGCGATGCTTGGGATTTCTATTATTGCAGCGGGTGTTCTTGCTATGCTATAATGACCTTTACAGAGAGATACAGAAAATGATTAAAAAAAAAACAGTATTTTTTGTTGATTTTTTTTAAAACCTGATTTTATTTAATAAATCAGGGGTGTGTAAATAAATTTATTCATTAAACTATTATGTTAATTTATTTTTGGTCATTATGTAATTTATACTTAAAAAAATAAAGATTAAAAGTTTATTGGGATTTATTATTTTATCAAATAATCCAAAGAAATTGTATATATAGAAGCCTATGTTCGCCCGTATACCGGTTTGAAGCCAACGCAAGAGCATTTGGTTGGAAACAAAATTCACCTTGGTCCTAGCGACAGTGGCGTGTACGATTTAGATGAAATTGGGCAGACTTTATGTAGTGGCGTATCCAAAGAGAATCCTAATTTCTTATATAAAATTACAATTGTTAAACTAACTACCAATTAAAAAATTATTGTCGTAACAGTTTTATAAATTGTAAAATGGTTTTTTTTTCTATATCTTTGTCACGTTTTAATAAGACTTGAATGTATTAAACAGAATAAATATAATGTAATGTTTTAAATTAATCAGAGGACGTAGAAACAATATACAGGTAAACGTCGGTTTGCGCCGGTTCGATTTACGCTGATTCACAATTACACCGGTTGGTGCCTATTGATTTTTCTGATTTGAAGGCGGAAGAAAACACTGGCGAAACTTTCTTGGCAAGCACTGGGTGGGTCACGAGATTCAATTCTCGAACCAATATCCGTAGCAGTAAACTAAGCGGCGAAGCAGCGGGCGCTGATGTAGTAGCACCAGCAGGTTACCCTCAAAAGTTTCAAGAAATTGTGCAACAAGGGAACTACCCTGCAAATCTCATCTTCAATTTTGATGAAACATGTCTCTATTGGAAGAAGTTGCCATCGAGAACGTTTATTTCGCGAGAAGAACGTAGCGATCCTGGATTTAAAGCCGCCAAGGATAGACTGATAAATAATATTAACATAAACGAAAACATTATCAGGCTTACACGCGAATGTGGATTCGAAGACGTAACAACTGAAGATGTGACCGAACTGTTAGACTTGCATGACCAACCACTCTCAAATCAAGAATTAGAAGAGTTGATGGATGCATATATTATGATCGCCCTCAATCAGAAAATCCCGAAGAAGAAGAAGAGGATGAGAAAGAAAATGATAGGGAAATCCTAAAAACGGACGATCTAACTCGTATCCTATCCTTTATAGAAAGGTTAACAGGTGAGATCTGAGATAGATGGGGATTACAATCGAAGCGCAAATTATGCTATGATTCTGCAAGAAAGCAACAATCAAAGCTAATGAAATTGGATGCTTTTTTCAAAAAGAGTTTAATTTAGTACCGACGAACTAGTGAGTTAGTATTTATTTCAAAAAATATATTAATTTATATCGAGAAATTATTATTTATTTTGAATATATTATGTAAATAGGATATGTATTAAATAAACATGTTAGATTGTTCTTAGAATTTTGACATGGAACCTAACCTTATATCGTCCATTATATTTGTGTTCATTTTACGCCGATTTTGTTTATGCCGGTGTCTCTCGGCACGGAACCCCGGCATAAACGAATCTCGGTATGTAGTATTTTGATTGATAAGTTTTATTTCTAACTAAAAGTACTAGTATACTCTACATACAAATTATTTACAAAGAAAATATAAATAAATAAAAATGAAGAAAAACTAATCGTTTATTGATTCGCAAATAGGTTTGTTTATTTTAGTGTAAGCCTTATCCTAGGGGCAATAATATTCGGGAATGTTCAGCTATAATCGGCCGCTGGTCCGATCTGTGCACATTCATTGTTTAAACTGATTTCGACAAAGGGTGTTAGTAAACAAACCGCGTGTTGCGTTGGCTTCAAGTTTTAGTGTTTACAACTGTTTATACAGAGTGTATCTGAATGACTGCAACAAACTTCAAGGGGTGATTCTTTAGTGAATTTTAAGGATACTTTGATATATGAACCATGGGCGACTTCGGCTCCCCTAAGGAGCTACACCCCTCCAAAAATGGCGGAAAATTTTGGTTTAATTTTTTTTTCTCAAAAACCATAAACGCTAGGAAAATGAAATTTGGGGAATATGTTTAACTCATAATAGGGCACGTTTTGACCCTATTTGTACTTTCAACCTACCCTTCTAAACTACTAAACGTAACCACCCCCGTTCAATTTATGCCTAGATTTTTTTTATGAAGATGATAAATACATTGGAAAAATTTCAGTTAGATAGATAAAACTATTCTAAAACTTTTTTGTCTCTCTGATGTTCTTCGAAAATTTAATAATTTCTGAGAAAAAAAATAATTAAGCAAACACTAACTGTTAAGCTGTAGGGTTGTTAATCGAAAGTTGGAATGAATTTTTAATGAAAAAATCTTAGTAGGCTTTGCAATCTTTGTCAGAAATATTTTTGACGTTTAAATGTCAGTGGTTTTCGTACTATTATTATTGTTTTATTTAAAATTTTGAAACGTCGAGTGAACGAGCGTAAATGCGATAGAACTTTATTTAAAAATTAATTTGAAAAACAATAATAATAGTAAGAAAAACACTGACATTTAAACGTCAAAAATATTTCTGACTAAGATTACAAAGCCTACTAAGATTTTTTCAATAAAAATTCATTCCAAATTTTGATCAACAACTTCGTTGTTTAACGGGCAGTGTTTGCTTTATTATTTTTTTTCTCAAAAATTAGTCGTTTTTGGAAAAATTTTAGAGAAACAAAAAAGTTTTAGGATACTTTCATCTACCTAGATAAATTTTTTTTAATGTATTTATCATCTGCATAAAAAAAATATTAGCAAAAATGTGAAGGGGGTGGTTACGTTTAGTACTTTAGAAGGGTAGGTTGAAAGTACAAGTAGGGTCAAAACATGCCCTATTATGAGTTAAACATATTCCCCTAATTTCATTTTCCTAGCGTTTATGGTTTTTGAGAAAAACAAATTAAACCAAAATTTTCCGCCATTTTTGGAGGGGTGTAGCTTCTTAAGGGTGCCGAAGTCGCCCATGGTTCATATATCAAAGTACCCTTAAAATTCACTAAAGAATCACCCCTTGAAGTTTGTTGCAGTCATTCAGATACATCCTGTATATACAAGTTCTTTGAAATAATCGTATCGAAAAGTCTTTTTGGATTAAATTTTAAACATTATTTGAAATTCAGTGAAAATGGACCTTTTTTTCCGCTTAAATCTAATATAGTAACTATTATCGACCATTTTAAAGAAATTTGGTTTTAAAAAGAAAACGATAAAAATGTTCTGCCTGTCAAGTTTATTCTCGACAAGTCAAATTTTTAAAAATACATTTTACATAATCTTAAAGAAAAACGTTTTTATTTATCCTCCGGTTTAGCAAAAACAAGAGTATATCCACACTTCCCACAGTAATGGCGATCCTCCATGGCAGCCATAAAGCATCCAGCCCCACACTGTTCGTTTGGACATTCTCTTCTCAATCTATGGATTTTTCCATTATCATCCACCTAATAAAGACAAAATGCAATTTACAAAAATACTCCAAATAAAAGAAATCAATTAAAAATACCTTGTAAAATCTCAATACAGGTAACTTAACCTTCTTCTTCTTATGTTTAATTTTTTTTGGAGTTGAATAATTCTTCTTCTTACGCTTCTTAGCCCCACCACGCAATCTTAGGACTAAATGCAACGTTGATTCTTTCTGAATATTATAATCAGAAAGAGTGCGCCCATCTTCGAGTTGTTTTCCCGCGAAAATTAAACGCTGTTGATCCGGTGGGATTCCCTCTTTGTCTTGGATCTTAGCCTTGACATTTTCGATGGTATCGGAAGGCTCGACCTCAAGAGTTATGGTCTTGCCAGTTAAAGTTTTAACAAAGATCTGCATATTTGTGGAGATAGGTTATCTAAAAACAAATTTAAATATTAATACAGTTTTAGCTCAGTAACTTAATAATCAAATTGTTTGATACATCCCAAAGGTTTACACAAAAAATGTGTTAAACACAACCGGAAACGAATCAAATATTCTTTACCAATGTTTTGGAGGTGGTTAATACATTTAAAAAGAAATCAACCACTAACGAGCATTGGATGTAAACAAAAATCTATTAAAATTAAAAAAATTCTTTGCTTTTTTAAAAATTTTTATTCATTTAAACCAATAATACAGCATTTATACATCCATCATTTTCTGGGTTATTCGTAACTTGCGCATATTTACCCCACACAACTTTACCCGCTTGCGTAACTAACCCCAATTCGGAAATGTTAACCTCAATAACCGTACCCTTAGTAATAACCCCTAAACTCGTAAACATAGCCGAAGAAGGATTCTTTTTAACCCCAATAATCGGCAAATGGAAAGTAGCTTTTAATTCTGGATGAGTTACATGAGCCTTTTTAAATCTTAGCGCCATAGGTCGAATGAAACGTTCAAATTTCGGCGGTTTCCTCGTAAATCCCTCCCCAACAAATGTCACTTTAGTAACCATCCTTTTCCAAGCTTTCCTCTTTGTTTTCCCAGATGTTACCACCCTTAAAACTTCAGAATCTGCTTGGGCCCTCACTTTCGGAATTGGAACATCCCATTTTCCGGCTTTTTCTTTTCTTTTTTGTTTAATCATATTTGATAAAACTTTAGCTCTTTGTTGAACATCTCTGTCCAATAAATAAACAGGAACGGCTCCTTCCGAAACTTTCTCCGACGATTTCTTAATTTTCTTTTCTTCATGGGCTTTAATTTTCTTTTTCATTTGAATCTTTTCATTGCGCCTTTCTTTATTGAAAATCTTTGCTTTGATTCCTCTGAGTGTTCTAGCTGTTTGGGCACGTTTATGGGGTTCACGCGCCTCACGTTTCCTTTTACGTTCTTCATAATCTAAACGACGACCGTGGAGTTTGCGATGACGTTCAATGTACTCGTTTTGTGGCATTTTGAATTACTAAAGAATTAAAGTAGAAAAAAAAAATTAGAAAATTGGTGGTCAATCATATTCAAAGCGATTCAAACAACGCTTGAATATGACCAAAACAACCCAAAGATTTATTTAATTTCACTTACCTTGGGATTTATAATGACTAAACAGTCATATTCAAACGATTCAAATCACAACTTATTATAAAAGTTAATTAAAAGAGATTTGGATTAAAATTGAACATAACCTCTACAAACCATGCGTATGTTTACGTTGTGAAATACGGAACAAAATCGCGAAATTCATACAAAATTTTATGTTTCATCGCTTAATTAAACTCTAATTTAATACTTTAAAGTAGTTTTATAATGATAATTATTAAATTAAAGCAAAAAATGAAATAAAACTTTCAACTTACGTCTACTCCACCATGACACGCTGCTAAAAGAGAAACTGACAACCGGAAATTCTTGTTTCACTGCTACCAACCACACTTTTTAGTCAATACAAATGTTGAAAAATACCAAAATTAACAAAATAATAAAGTTAATCATTAAAAATAATTACGAATTTTCATTACATTTTATTTATTAATTAATATCAAAGCATCGACTAACCTTCAATAAATAAATAATGAGATTTAAATATTTTTGGGAGTTATATTGACTTACACCTAACTTCACACTTATTTCACACTTTCATGGAAATTTAAAAAGAATCAATAATAAAATAAACTCAATTTAATTAAAAAAATTTATTCTTATTAATAATTAAATCAACACAAATAATATTTAATAAAATATCTATGAATTATAATAAGGAGGCCTCATATTAGGTGGTGGTGCGCCAGTATTGGGAGGAGGTGTATAAAAGTTGTTTGGTGGATTTGGCGGCATTGGAGGTGGAAAATGTCCCGGTGGCCCCCCAAATGGTGGGAAAACTCCAATTGGAGGAGGAGCAGCAATATGAGGTGGAGGTGGGCCAGGGGGTGGTGGTGCAATATGCGCGGGAATTGGTGGTGCAGCAAAGGGATAAGGATTATAGGGCTCAGTAGGAGGCATTGCACCAAATGGAAATGGTGGAGGGATATCTGGAGGTGGTGGGTTAATAGGTGGAGGTGTTGGTTCAGTTTTTTCCTGCCCATTTGTTGGTTTTAATGGAGTTGGAGGTAGTTGTTGTGGTTGATTTGGCACTCGAGGTGCTAATGGAGGACTATCAGGAACTTGATTACTGGTTTGTGAATACAAATCGAGAACTTGATGGCAAATATCTTCAAGTAAATCCATGGTAACATCTTCCACAAACATATCCCACCATCGGAGGTGTTTGGGCGTCCTTCCTGTCCAATCCATAACTTCAAATTGACTTAATTTTCCAGCCAAATACATTAACGCAACCGCAATTATTTCAGGTTCCCATTGAATAGCTAATGTTGTACATAAACTATCATTTACAAATGTCCAAGCCATTTGTACCATTTTCTCCAATTTCGATTTATCCCCTTTCAAACATTTAGCATATTTAATTAAATACCCATAGGGATGTTCAACTTGCAAATCAAATTTTATAGTTTGCAACAAAATCCTTTCTAACGTCATAACTTCCTCTTTCGGGTCAGCCCCAAATTGGGCGAATTTTTGATCGGATAATAAACCCCGCGCTGTTTTTATAATGTCTTTACATTTTTTAGGGGTTTCTTCAACTTTTCCAGCCAAAAATAAACAGCAACAAGCGGTTACATAGCGAGGAAATTGTCGGAATGAGTGAAACATGTAAAATCGATGGAAATATACCACTCCTGTAGCTGTTGTGTTATAACCCAAATCCATTTTTGTACCTAAACTCATTATAAACCGAGCACCTATGAAATATAAATTAATTTAAGCGATCATCTTTGGTAGTTTTGAGGTTAAATTACCTTCTTTTCGGTATCTCACTTCCATATCGTAATCTATTCCATCTTGCGATGAGGGGGTATTTTTTAATTCTTTTTTATCGTAATACCAACAAGGCATTTTTATTTTATTAAATAATCGAAATCCATACAAAATATAACAATATGGGTTAATTGAGTTGACAGACGTCAAAGCTTGCTGTTTTTAGTACCAATGTTAAAAAGAAAAAACCACTATTTTGGGATGAACTAATCCCACTGGTTGCAGTTCTTTACCTTTTTTTATTGAGGAGATTGCTGACTATGGAATATTTCACAATAAATACAATAGAAAATAACTAATTAGATTTTAATGAAATTGTGCGATTTGGGTTGCCTATGCTTTGTGAAGTAAACTAAAATTTAAAAGTTTCAATTAAAGATGAATATGTATAGTTTGCCATATTTCTGGTGGTTTTTATGACATTACTGCAGTCATATAACGAACAAAGACGGTGTTATAAACAGGTAGTTTACAAAAGAAATTACAAAAACAAAATATTTAAAAACTTAAATACCATTACTTTGTGTAAAAACATAACAATTTATTTAAAATTTGTATTTTTCGAATGTAAACAGTTATTTGGTACTCTAAATACTGTTTAAGTGCTTTTTCTTTTTTTTAAGGTGTAAATTCTTTTCATTTATTTCAAATTTATATTTTTAAAGTCTAAATAATTAATACCCTGTTGCCTGTTGTTAATATCAGTTAATAATTTTTTTATATTATTAATTATTGCATGTTTCTCTTTTGTAAAATCATTAATTAAATAAAATTTATATTAATAATTAGTAAATTCATATTCTTTACTATATTTGTTTTATTTTGTTGAATTTAAAATAAAATAAAAAAAGAAGTGCGTCCCTGGACCTAATTTGCTAAGAGGGCCTATCATAAATCCCGTTCAGGTACTTTTTCGGGGTGATAATTACTGCCACTACTGTTTCTGAGAGTCATAAAAATCCCCCGAAATATCGGAAACTATAATTGGGGTATCTACTCTATTGTACGTCAAGATAAACGTATAAATTGTTTAAAATAGAGGTGGTGCTATTTATTTTATATATGTATATTTACATTATATTTAATTATTTTTCAAAACTATTTACAATTGTTTTTGAACATATTTTATTAACATTGATTTTAATGTAAAAAACTTATTTAAATAATAAAAATTTAATATTCTTTAAATATTTTATTTATAAAGGGAAAAATATTACAATAAACTATATAATAAACTTATATACGTCGAATTGGAACTTAACCTAAGTAAAATCTATACAAACTCTCTTCGCGTTTCCTTCTTACTCGAAAGAGAACAAAAACATCATTACATTTACAATTCTTATTAATTATAAAAAAGAAAATCGGTAATAGCAAAAATTAAAAGTTAAAAAATTAAAATTGGTTTGTTTATTCTTTTTAATTAAATCTAGTTTACAGTTTTATTAACATTCTTTAACATTTTCCTCATAATCGTTTTCACATAATTCGTGTAATTCTTGTTTGAGTTTAAATACACTTTATCTCTAATCTAAAAAACATCATTTTTTTTGTTTTAATTTTTTGATCCACATGCAACATTTACTTAATTTATTTATTTATTAATGTTTTTTCCTCTGTGTGTAGACAATTATCACATTGATTTTGGACGCAAATACGTTCTTTAAACACAAAACATTAATTCACATTGATTTTTTTCGCATTTTCTTTAAGTCTATCTACAATTTCTTTTATATTATTCCTTTTATAATAATAATTTTTGTATAAAAAAGTCGGCTTTTGTTATTTTATTGTATAAATATATATTATAAAGTGTATAATCTATTTTCTATTCTTTTTTTTTTTGAGTTTTTGCCTGAATTGATTTTGCACTATAAATTTTCAGTTATCTTTTTTGTTGTATATTTCGTTACATTTATCAAGACACATATATTACAATTTAATTAATAAAAATAAGAAAAGTGTTTAAATCACAGTAAAAAAAACTTTTTGGAAAAATTATTGAAAATAATTTTGATGCAACCCATAATTATTAAGATAACCTCCAAAATATCATTCTTTATAAGAGTATACAGCACCACCTGGCGAAGTTATGGCGAAATATTAATTATGTATTTAAAACAGAGGTGGCGCTAATTTCGTGACATTTATCAAGACATTTATGATTTAATTAATAAAAAATAAGAATAGTGTTTGAATCGAATTTTCTTTTTAAACGAAGTGAATAAATTACTTTTTACAAAATGTACAAAGAATTTTATTATAATTTTTTTTGTGTTAAATAGACTCGTTAAAATTCTTAAATGACTACAAAATCTTTTTTGTAGAAGAAACACTCATTTTTTTAATAATAATTTCCTTAATAATTGTATTTACAAACGTTTTCTCGCGATTTATTTGTGGAACTTGAGATCAATTTGGTTTATAAAAGAAGGGTTGAAATTTATGGACGATATGCTTCTAAATATTTATAAATCAACGGAAGAGATAAACTTTAATTCGCTTAACTTTTAACTTTTCCAGGCACCACACAGTCTCTCTTAATAAATTCTATAAATTATTCCAAATTATTTCAGCACCTCAAGGGACTTCTTTTTAATTTGTTTCATTTTATATTTTACTTATTATAATTTTAAACTTTATAACAAATTACAAAAATCTTACAACCCTTAAAAATTTAAAAACTTACGAACAAACTTATCCTTTACTTATCTTGGTAACAAATTTCCAATTATTTTTTAAATCCATTTTTGTAAAAATACCTTGTCCATATCACATCTTAATTTTTCTCTTTTCATTTACCTTTTAATCTCTTTGTAACTATTGCGATTTATTAGTTTCTTTATAATTATTAATATATTTTTTCAATAGGCTAAAAATATGTTTTTGTACATAGAATAAAAAGTTGCATTTTTTATTACTTTAATATTTACAGTTTTGGTTAAATTAAAGCCGGCTTTTTACATTTCTTTTTGAGTATTACTTCAAAAACTTTAATCCAGCATATTTCTTGAGCTTCAAAGTTGCCTTTTTGTCATCAAAATACATTTATAATACAAGTTTCATTCCTTTACTTACCTTCGTTATCTTAATAACATCTTAATCATGGTAATTTCTTTTTTAATAAAAAAATTGAGATCTTTCACTTTGTCTTAAAGAAATTTTTTTATGATCCATTACAATCAATCTCAACGATATCTTTGGGTACATCAACAAATTGATAAACCAATCTTTGACCATCAACCTTCGCTAAAATCCCTCTTTGGTAATAATACCTTAACGCCCTCCCCATCGTTTCATAATTCATATCCGGTTTATTTTTATGCATACCCCATAATCTGCTAACCGCTTTCGAATCGACCAATTTAAAAATACCCTTTTCACGATTCGTCCATTTAATATACCTCGGACAATACTCGTGATCTTGAAGCAATTTTAACAGAAATTCCCAAAGATACGTTGTGGACCCTTCTCTGCTTTTCCTTTTAACTGTGCCCGGTTCGGTTTTGGGTTTTTTTAATTTTTTCAATTTTCTCGTTGGAAATCCGGCCAAATCGATCATGTAAGGAAGATCTTCGCTCACGCTTGATGTTGCTGCTTGAATAACGGATGTTGGGATCGCCATGTGATGATGATGGTGTTGGTTGATCGATGATGATCTGGGTGGAGACGGAGCTGACGGTGTTGCGAAAGGTGAATGGAGACTTGTGTGATGATCGTATGTCGATAAAAGATTTTGTTGGACTTGTTGTTGGTGTTGTTGAAGTGATGATAAGTAGGTGTTGTATGTATCTAATTCTGGAATAAATAACATACATCAATTTTTGTGATAAAGGTTTATCTCAGTATTAAGCGAAAATTTTGAAAAACTTATCAAATTTTAAACAAATTTTATTTGAAAAACTTTGTTATACATATAACCCATAACTATTAAGGTAACCTCAAAATTATCACATTTTATAAGAGTATACCAGAGAGATACATAAGAGTATATATTGCCAGCAGTATTTAATCCTCTATTATCAGTGTTTAATATTCCATTAACAATATTTGTCTTCTATCAGCAGTATCTAGTCTTCTGCAAAGAGTATTTAGATTTCTGATTGAACTATTTTATCTTTAAAACGTGTAGTTAAACTTTCAACACTACAAGATAATAACATACATTATTAGAAATCGTTTCAAATCACCCGATTCATAACGAACAAATCGACTTAGTTTTCTACATCCTCAGACCTTGTTTCTCTTAAGCGAAAACTTAACTTTCATCGTTTTATAGAGAAGAGAGAGTGAAGCTACACTTTGCGCAAACTAAACTTAAGCAAAACCAGATCTATTTGTTTTATACATAGTAATCTGTCTCAAGTGGGTGTAATAAGATTGCAAAAAAGAAATATTGATCTCTTTCTCAACACCTATGTTCGACCAAGTTAATATTTACTTAAAAGAAAACATTATATCTTCGCTTATCAAACAGACTCTTTCCAGACGACTGTAAATATTAAATAATCTTCACACAAAGATTCACTATACAACACTTGTCTTTGTTTACTTAACGTTTTCCGCATATCAAATTCGAGATAAAACGTTTCTCTTTTTCTATTTATGAAATTTTTCCATTCCTGCTAAGATTGCTTTTTAATTTCGTTGCGAATAAAGAAGTTGTGATATTGTTGTTATTATTAAAATTGAGAGATTGCAAAGGATGAAATTAAAATGGCTTAAGTCGGTAGTAGTAACTTGGCAAAGAAGAAGTAGAAGGAGAGAATGTGCATCACCGCACACACACAGTGCATCTATTTTCGCAACACAAGGACAGAGCCGGTTGAAGGTTAAACCTCATTTCCTGGTCAATGTTCCCTCGCATGGTCACGCGTGCATCTCCCTTTCTATCTTTGTCCAATACATACTCAAGATTTAATCTTTTATCCTTCTCTTTATTTTGAATGTTCGATATTCAATCGATTCATCACTCAATCGGTTCAATTAATACTTGATGTGTACGTGATAAAATTAAATTAACAAGAGATTTATTAAAAAAAAATTAAATAGTTTTATCGTTGTTGTCTTAGACATAGTTCTTTTCCACAATAACATGTTTATCATTCGGTTTTATCATGTTATGTTTAAGATTCTTTTCTTTTTAATTATCGAAATTAAATTAAATAAAATTAATTTATACCTAAGAGTATATCAAAAGTGATATCGAGTTCTGAATCGAGGTCGAGCGTACAATTTCGCAAAGCTATCACATTGGAATGGAATACATTGAGTGTTTATGTATGTGTACATAAAGAGGTTATCCCATCGGGGTCAATGAAGGTAAAAGTGGATCGCGAAGTTACTTAACGGATGCCTCATCGTCGCCGTTTTCGTCCAGAAACATATATGTATATATACATACTGTCGAGTTGGTACTAATTTTTGCATTACATTTTTGAGATCATAATCGAAATCAAAATTTGTATTGTAGACTTGTTAGAAACATTTTATTTTATTTATGTTTGTAAGGAAACTAAGATTTTCACCACTCAAAGAGAGAGAGTCAAGGGGGAATAACTCAAATTCGTTCCCATGCACGTTTCGGACTTGCGCATTAGGGAACTGACGCGAAGAACGAAAGTTCTAGCCGCAGCAGTCCAGTCGTTTGCAGAGCAAGCAAACGAGGCGGTAAGCGGGGTGTGTAAAATATCTGCAAGCAAGCAATCGGGGTTACCGCCCGATTCAAGGTCCACCATCCATCCATAGATGTGCACTCTGTTTGCAATGGCGCCACTAAATGGCGGGCCTATCTCTTTATTTTCAAAGAGAATTTCAAAAAATCACAATGAATTAATATCTCCTATAATGATATTGATTATAAATAAGTTGTTGAATAAGAATCGAGCTAATTATAATTAACAAAAAAATAAAATAAAATAAGTGATATAATTATAGCATCCGCACATGCGCCGATGTCCTTCAAGTGTTTCTCGATTGCACTTGCTGCTGTTCCCTCCCTGTTCGCTTCGGAAAGTCCCGTGCAGGTCGCGCAAGTCTGCAACACTACGGTTGTCGTTTTATTTCCCTTTATTCTTTTTTCAAGTCTTTCGTTCTTTTTGCTTGCATTTCTTCGTGTTTCTTTTTTTTTTGTGGAGGAGAGAGAGGAGGTTCTCGCTTGTAACAGGAAATTGCCCATTGCCGCGCTTCCCTCTTCCTCCAAACCCCACACCACCTCTTCTTTACTTGTCTGGTGCACCCGCTACGTACATACCTACGCACATATTTTTATGCCACTTAAAAATATCCAAAGTTAAAGAATTAAAATTTCATCATTAGAGTGATGCAATGAAAATGTCGTCTCACGATAAAAACCGTAACTCAGATTTATCTCAATCCAACCATAATGTTAATTGGATGAACATTTTCAAATAATCTGTCTTTCAACATTACAAGGAGAAATCAATGACAAATTCTTTTATGGTTCACCCTTTTATCCGGATTTCAGCCCTTCCTCTTCTTCGTCCTTGTCTTCTAGATCTCTTCGCTGGCAAATGTCGTCGTCTGTTGAACGCGGGGATAAACAAAACCGCGAAGACAACGACAAAAAAGTCTAAAATAAAAAAAAAAAAAGGCGAATGGCAAAAAGGTCGTGGCGTTGGTGTCGGAAATGCAGCAGGTATCCAAACCGGGAAGGCGGTCGCTCGGTCGGTCCTGCTGCTGTTGCACAGACCAAAAACAGATGATCTCTCCTTCTTCTGTCTGGTGTTGCCTGAGAACCAACCAACCAGTCAGGAGTTTTAGCACAGTCGGTCGGTTCTCTCCTCTCTTCCTTCGGTCACTAGTTCATCGACTCTACGACTTTCCGCCAGTTCTGAAGGTCAGTGGTGCGCTGCGGCGCATGCCGTTTCAGTTTAGCTGCTGCTAAACCGGAGAGAGAGACTCTCCATTTCAAAACGAACTCCTTTTCTTCTTCACCTACTCTTCGTCTTCTTCATGGGTACTTCAACGTTATAATCTTTTTGTTCCACCTGGTTCGTTTAAGACTTCCTTTCCTCCTTATCCTCATGCCCTACAATTGCTGAGGTAATGATGGCGGGGGAAATTGTATTGTTTATTCAAAGTTCTTTTATTTCAACATTTGCACTACGAGTAAACTACAGTTTCAAGATGGAATTGTAGCACTTCTTTTTAAACGAATTATTGTACAATTTATTTATAATAAGAAGATTAATACAAAAATAATATCTTTCGTAACTTTGAAAGTAATTTTACTCATAATATAGTTCCCGTTGTTATATAAACGATTACAGTGATGAGCATGACTCGTTAATAAGAAAAGGATGGATGGATATTTTTCGATTTGTCCTTCCTGCTGTTGTCGTCCTCCGAGTTACAAGAGGGACAGGACGTTTTAATATTAATTAAAATTGAGACACGGATGTGTTACGAGTGGTTTATTTTTGGAGACAATTCAATTAGTTGTTTAGTGTAAGAAAAATGTCTGTGTTAATATAAATATTTTTAGATTATTATTGAAAAGTGAAAAAACAAATTTCAAAAATCACTCCGACCTCATTTTGAGGAATTAAGAAATAATCTGTCTTAAATTGAAGGCAAAACTCTATAATTTTGAATATAGTATGAAAATGATGGGTTAGGTTGGTGTCAAATTTGTTTTGTGTCAAAAAAGTGAAAAATTAATCAGCCCTTGCCAATAAGTTAATATTAATTAACACAGGCCGTAAAAGCCTTCACCTATGTATATTAACAAACGAGTCAAGGATCTTGACAACTTATGGATTAGACAACACAAGCTATTAAGAGGTTTGGCCAAACCTTCCTCAAAGTGAAGCACCATATCGACACCGCTGCAGCAAGTAGGATCTTGATTAAGATAGAACAGGCGCTGATACGAGAAAGAATTCACAAAACCTTTAAAGATCAGCAGCGAAGAAGTAAGAGGCCACTTTCCAATTCTATGGCACTAGAAGACTGGGACAAAATAGACAGGATAACCATGGAGAAGGCTGAACGCGAATTCCAAAGAAGTCGGGATAAGCAGATTAATCGTTTTACCGCCGCACCACCTTCAAGAAAAAGAACAACCATTTGCCAATCAAAACAGTCGTCATCTGTTCTATCTGATGATGCCACAAAGGCGAAACCGGTAAAGGCAGATAGATAAATAATTTTTTCCAATGTTAAAGTGTAAAGTTGTCTTTATTAAATTATGCAGTCGCTCCAAAGAGGGATCCCAAAGAAGAAATTATATATGAAGTGGATATCTGCAGTGAAAGCAGAAGAAATTCGTCAAGACATAGCGAGAGTGCTAAAAACAGCAAAGCTACCAAAAGCAAACTTAACAGTGACCGAAAGAAAAGCACTACGAACGATAAGGGAAAAAACAGACATTTCTAGACCATCTCAATTCACAGCACCCCATGAAAAAATTTACCATGGAAACAGAAACTGCAAAACAGTTGCCATTCCTGGATGTGTTGCTCACTAGGAAGACAAATGGGGACTTGGAACTGGGCTTGCAGGCTTCATCCCACCACCACCCACAACAGAAGGGGTTCGTGATTCAAGCGTTATTCCAGCGAGCAGAGAGGATATGTGATAAAGAGAACCTGAGGAAAGAAGAAAGAGTTCTACAAGATATACTACAGCAGAACGGCTATACGGTGAGGGATGTCCAACGAGCCACCAAACCACATAAACAGAAGGATGACACGGTAAGTACAACACCGATCGGTTTTTATCTACCTTCCTTATGTTCCTTATATTAATTAGTTGTTAATTATCTTTTCATGTATTTATTGTCAAATAAAAACGTTAACTTATTGTCAATTGAAGGTTGCAACACGCCTTCCTAAACGTCAAACATTTTTTCAAAACACGCACGGCTTAACCCAAAAGTATTTAGGTCTAGTGTTAGTTCTAGTTATAGCATCTTTAATAAAATTCGTGTGATATAAAATGCATGCTTTAATGTATTTTCAGTTTGTTATTGAAACAAAAACCAAGTTTAAACAATATAAATAAGGTCAAGGTCATGTCTTATTGTAAATGCTTATTTTGTTGTGCACATTTTGCCGAAATTTTTTATCCCCACAGGATGTTATTTGTTAACTTGTTTATATCATGGAGGTGTTTTAAATAAGTATTTAGAGTTACCAAGCTATATAGAGCAAAAAAAGATTAGTTAACAGAAGAAGATACGTTTGGAATAACATTTGACACTCCTAATCGGATCTCATGATGGTTTTCGGTTTCAACTTGAAACAGATATAAAAAAGTGAGGATAGATAAAGATAATCGGTGTTGTTTTCACATTTAAAAAATATCTAAAACCTAAAAATATCTGTTGTGTGTGTGTCTGCTTTTTTCGACGACGAACAGCGACGCAGAACGACCGAGAGAGAGTTACGTAAACCATGACCTCGGCCAATGTCACACACATTTGTCTCTCTATTTGAATTCCGGCGCCCAGTTAGAAATAGAATTCACTTTCGGTCTCTATACGTGCTTTAAACTACGTTCAAACAAAACTTTATTTACTTTTTTGTTGAAAAGTTGTTTAATAATTTTGGTATATTTTTTCTGACTTGACCTGTCCTATATCAAATAAAATTGGGAGTTGAGTCGAATTCTAATTTTAAAGCAAGTTGGAGAGTTTAGAAATAGAATAAGATCGTTCGCTGTATGCGGATAGATTGGGGAAATAGGAACATTTTTTTTTGCTGGTGAAGAGCCACTTTTATATATATTTATAGGTCGTGTGCAAAAATTCCTGTTGGGATATAAAAATCTGTGTCTGTTATTTTTCCTGTGCCAAAAAATTGGCCTATTTCTGTTGTGGAATAGTGATTTTTTTGGGTAGAGCTAAGAAATGGTTTTTCAAAAAAATGTATGAAAAAAATTTTTTATATCGAAAATACAAAACTATTTTATCTCGTTATGTAATGTCAAATTCCTCATTTCGTATACAAACCGGGTGCTAAATATATCTTAAACTCAATCTCCGATCTGTTCTAATCAAGGTTCCGTAAACGAACGAAGATATTTTCAGAAATCAACTTCTGTTACTTTTTATAACTCGCATTTCTTATATAAAACATTGTCTTAAATTAAACCTACCACAAAAAATCTTTATAAAGCTCGGTTACTAATGACGCAAACGCTTCCATCAAGTTAAAACGGTTATTTCAAGTATATCCGATCGTATCTGCCAGTCATTACACTAATATGTAAATATTTGCAAATGTTAAATTTAACGTTCAAAACAGGAAAAGCAACCGAAAGTTGTTTGTTATCGAAAACCAAGTTTTCGATTTTTCACTTAATTTATCCCGATTGACGTTTTTATTTTTGGACGACGACGCCAAAAGGAATTCGGATGAGGTCATCCTCATGCAGAAAAATACTGCTTCTCAATTTAAATTCCAAACAAAAATTTATGTTTTGAGATTAACTTACGTTGCGATCTTATTGTATAATGATGTGGATGGGAAAGATGCCCTCTATGAGAATGCGGATGACTCCCAGGAAAATTATATGGTGGCAAAAAATGCTGTTGCTTCGCGTGATAACCACCAAGGGGAGAATGGGGCCCAACCAGTCCTCCTCCTCCACCACCACCACCTCCTCCTCCACCCCCTGTCCCGGCTCCGGGTGGTTGTAATCTCGATTTGAGTTCGTCTGTCGACGTGTGACCACTCGATGAACTATCGACATCAGAAACACCGGAATCCGCTGGACTTGGTGGCAAAGAACCTGGAAACAAAGAAAAATAGATCAAAAAATCTTAACGGTTTCAAGTTCCGGTTTCTAGGACTTTTTTAAGATTCAACCCCCCTAGATAGTTGAACGATTTATGAAAAGGGTGAAGAGATATCCTATTTCAGAAAAGAACGGGAATCGCCAGTGGTCAAGCCACTAACTAAACCCACCCTTTCGGTCAAGCAAACTCTTCTTCATTTTTTTCCAAGTGACCAACACTTAACCAATTTTCCCAGACCCTAAACTCCATCTTTGAACTATCTCTCTTAACTTTAATATATTTATGGTCACTGTACACAAAAATAAAGAAACCAGTTATTAACAAAAACAAGTTACAAACAAAATTAACGAAATGAGATTTAAGAAAAAAAAAATTAAAGGTGTTTGTAAACACCAAAGGATCTATTACATTGTTATGATCCCGGTGGTCCAAACGTTTTAAAAGCCGCTCGTTGCTTCTGGTTGTGGTCCTAATGACATAACACTTTAAGCCCCCGAACAATCCCTAAATACGAAGGGATGGTGTGTATCAGGTGTCGAAAATCTGTACGCACTTCCGCGTCCCTCGAACTGTTTCGGAAGAAAAAGAGAATAATAGACCGAGAAAAGGTCCAGGTAGCTTTCAACACTTCCATCACAATGGGGTACCAAAAAACCCAGTTACATAACCACAAGTGGGGGTCTCAACAAATAATCTATCTCATTTCGGAAGATGTATTGCAACGTAATGATAGAAACCTGATCTAATTGGTTTTAAAGATTAATCGGAATCTGTTTACTTTTGAAATAAAGTAATGCGATGTTATCATGGGAAATCGTTTAAGATCACTTTTGACAGTATGTAACCACGGGATCAATGCTACGCAGGTGTCCACAAAGGTTATTTCGTTAAAACTTTTTTATTATGTGGTAAGCTCTTAAATTTTTCAACTGATTCTAAAAGCCTATTTCATTTTAAAATTATTTTCACTCTTAGAAATTTTTGATTAGACGCCATTGTTTTAGAGTTTTTCACAAAAGATGTAACTTCGTCCATGAAATACTGTCATTAATCGTAGACGCCCATGAAAATAAATCTTAAGTAAACCAGTAAAGCAATATGTCAAATTAATGGCCATCAATAAAAAATATTTTATCTAAACACGCAGCATCAATAGTACATTTTTTACCTCGCAACGGATGATTAGCAATTTTTAATTCTTGTACTGTCGACAAGTTGTATGGATACAATTGCTGTTCGTGTGACACACGCCAAGCCGTACAACTGTTGACATCAACAGTATCATCAGTTATTTGCAATATCGTCTCACTGCAATATCGGCATTGCCTAAATACTCTCCCAAAAGCATGACAGTTTGTTCACTAAAACTGTTATTATTTGTCATTTTAAACAACTATTACCTACTGACGAATGTTGGGTAATGATTTGACAGTTGCTTTACTGCTCCAGCTACAATTTGTTTTCATAGGCACCTACGATTAATGAAAACATGTCATAATTGAGGTTGTATCTTTTTGGAAATAACTCGAAAACGATGCGTCTAAACAAAAATTTCTAAGAGTGAAAATAATTTTAAAATGGAATAGGCTTTTAGCATCAGATGTAAAATTTAAGGATTTATGACACAATAAAAAATTTGGAAGGAAATAACCTTCGTGAACATCCTGTATAGCATTGATCCCGTGGTTGTATATTTTCAAGAGTGATAATAAACAATTTTTCAAGATAAAATTGCACTGTTTACCATATTTTATCTTTTTAAGACAAACTATATTGAAAATATTTAAGGAAATTTAAAAAAAAACTTAACTTTGAAAGCCCATATCTTAGCCATTTATGGGTTTATATCAAAAATTTTTACACGAATCATTATCATTTTAACATTCTTATTTGTGCCACAATTATGCCACAACTTACAGGAACACCTGTATAATTGAAGAAAATCTTAAAAATTGGTTAAGATTAGGCAAAACTTTGAGCAGTACCATCCATTAGATTCCAAGACGGTTAAAGACATTAATTCAGCGAAGAAACGATTAATCAAACTTTTTACATTCCAGTCGTGATTCGAGTTAGACTAGTCTTATCCTTGGAAAAAGGACAACGCACCTCGACCAGGAGCTTATGGCAGGGTATATTATTAATTGTGTCCGGGATAATCTGCCGCAAAACTGGAACTAGACAGGAGAGGGCCTATTAGTCACGGTCGCCGCTGCTGCCTGTTTTAAGGGGGTTTAACCCTTAAAGGTGTAGAATCTACACCGTAGATCCTCTCCGCACGACCTCGACGACCTCTTCACTACTGCCTTGGTGGTAGTAGTAAATAAACACACCCGGTAAAAGACAACCATCGAGCGGTGGCAAACAGGCACATGCAACCCGTTCCTTCCTTCCTTCCTTTCCTTTTGTATCGTCGAGAACCTGTTTCTTTCCGCGACCTGAATGTCCATCCCTTGATGTGTCCGGCGTGACCCGTTGACCCCCCCTCGGATGGCCCATTAATCATATCTTTTTCTTTCTATGCGCTGGTTGTCGAGCTGGTCATCCTCGTTGTTGATCCCGTCTTCGCGACGCTCCGTTTGAGGAAGAAGGAAGGAGAAAGAATGAAACGAGGATTCTCTTTTATCGTAGGGGTTCCGATTATGTCGTTACCTAAGCTGACCGTTGGACGCAAGGAGACACCCAGTGGGAATTCGGGCCTTCCGATGGTCGCATTTCGACCAACTCTTCGAACGACTCCGACTAATTTGCATGAGTATTCAACACGTGAAATGTTTTGATTTATTTTTCTGCTGTTGGTTGACGATTGCGCTTATAATAAAGGAATAGGTAACACGCCTTATATTCACGAAAAAGGTTCTAACGATCAATACGATAAAGTGAATTAATGGTTCTTGGAAATGTGGGTGGTAAGTCGTTGTTATTGAACAACTGCAGATGTCATTTCGTATTCCCGATTGAATCATCATCGTCATCATATTGAACAACATGTTTTAGCATGCAGGCGTTCATAACACAACGCAATACTTGGACGGGACAGATGCGTGGCTAATCCTAGCTCAATGTGTTATTGTAGCAATTCAATACCTTCCACCCTTTTGCGCAAAAAGGGTGATAAAGAAATCCAGAGAATCAGGCTAAAATCGGGTGGGTGTTTTTCCGAATTCGAATATATTCAGCAGATTGGGCAGATGTTGTATCATATTGCGTTTTTCGAGTAATATTTGTTCACATTGTAATACAGCTGATAAAACCATCCGACTAACGTATTAATGATTTTATATTTAAAAATAAATTAATAATTCCACTAACCTGTCGTTGTGGTAGTGCAAGCGGTTAGCCTATGTAATGGTAACGGAGCGGCAGTGAAATCAGGCGCCAAACCCAACATGTAATTGAGTTTTGCATTTGGCACCGGCGACGGCGACTTTCTGTTACTGTTTCGGCTGTTTGACGTTGGGCAGTGTTCATATTCCCATTTTGATACATCTAAAATTTAAAAAAAACATATTTTAAGCAGTATAAAATCAAACAAACCGATAACAAAAATTTGTTCAAAAAGACCTTGATTGCAAATTATGACGAAAACACGTTACCAAAATCGTATTAAACTGCAAGGCGCACGACAACTTACAATATGTAAATTTACGTCGTCGAGAGTGAATGCTTTTATATGGTACGCAGACGACCCATTTACCCTGTTTCGACACCACCTCAAAAGACCAACGAGTAATAATCGAAATGAAAGAAAAAAAAAGAACCGGTGGTAAACCCGTGCATACGAATAATATTCGTCGCGTTCGGTTACGCAAGCGAAAGGTGGGCCACCGTAATTATTTCGCGGCAAGCCGAAAATTTTCGGCGTGGACGATTAATACAGGTTTTGCAAGAACCACACCGTAATTTATGGGCTCGTTTGGTTTCGTAGCGTTGAATCGAAATACCATTTTACTTTCATCGGTCATGTTACATCTATTAAATTCACGAGATTTGGATTAGGTTTATTTAATTTGATGCAAAAATCGTTTCTTAATTTTCATAAATACCCCTCAGCAATTTTTTAAATTTCAGTTCCAATTTTACAATTTTTAGGTTAACTTGAAACGTCAAGGAAAACGTCAACATATTTTCTCGATTTTTTGATTAACATTTTTCATAATTTAACCTAAAACTTATTATACACCATTTTAAAGAGCAAAGCTCAAGCTTTAATTTGCTATAAACATCATTTCTTAATTTTTAGAAACAGTAAAAATTTTGTAATTTGCAGATTAACAAGACAAACCGTCAAGGGAATAAATTTCATGTAAAGTTTTTCAGAAAATCCCAATAACGATTGTAAATTGCTAAATCTTTCGTAATTATAACACAAACAATAGGGGATAATAAAAATGTTAAGATAGAATAGATAAAATCGTTTTCATTTCATATAAGGTTAGGTTAAAGAGGTGTGAGTCGATATTTAGCATCGAACGAGTCTCGAGCTGAGTCTATCGGCTTTACCGGAAGGGAAAGTTTCCTTGACCCAAATGGAAAATGTACACACACACACAGAGCTACAAATGAACCTCTCGGATTTTACCAGTAGCACACATTTACACCGGCAACAATGGTGTCAGCTTCATTGCGTCATCGACCACCACACAAACACAATGCGAATAACACTTACTTAGTAAATACTTCTTAAAATGGTCAGAAACTTTAATGGGTTTGTCTTCATCTTTCCAAGAATAGCATTTCCGTTCGCTCCAAAAATAGTATTCATTATACCTAAGTTTAAATTAATCATTTTAATTTTGCAATGTTATTGTATCAAATGTATTCTATAAATAACCCCAAATAAAAAGTTATTTGTTTTTCTTGTGTCTGGCTGCAAAAGTCTTATCTAAATGGAAAGCTCCGTATCTTTATGATCAACACATGAAAAAGCTCGATGTCGTCGACGACGACGCGACGTTTCGTCTAGCCGTATCGATTCGTTTAAAGCAGAAAGTTTCACTTTCAAATTCAATTTTGGCGAAATGTAAGTTAAAAAATGAAGTAGAACTGTATCAAATTTGAAATGATACGAAAACGAAAGGGAAAGTGACCGAAATAACTCTTAACATTCCTATAAAGCTTAAAGCGCGCCTACACGTTAAAATCTCACACAGAACGAAAGTGAATTATGAAATTGTGTAAATCACCTTGGATTTTGTTGTCTGAAAATTTTGTTCCAACTATAACACAATGTTGATTTCTCTCTCAACAATTTAAGCTTTTTGCCAAGATATACAAGTTTTAATTTTTAGAACAGTCGAAAGAGTGAAAAGGATTAATTCTATTAATAAAAATATTTCAAGAAAACGCAACCGATCTTTTCTTGAGTGTGAATCCGGAGAGTTCTATTTATAAAGACATACTATACACACAACGACCTCATTACTTGTGCCAAAAAATTCGGTAACGATTTTCGTTGAGTGAAAGCAACAAAGACGGCGAAATCAACTTCCGTTTTACGACTCGTTCGATTGTGTCCCATTAAACACTTCCTGTATTTTGCAATAATAACAACAAGACTCGCGATTATTCTATTTGATTAGTTAAGATAAGATTACAAACGATCGATTAAATTGAGAATAGATAAGCCGGAAGCGACCAGAAATAAAACGCATAATCAAAATTTCTTAATTTTACTTTTTTTTTGATTCCTGAAACTTGGAAGGTGTTGTAACGTTTAACATTTAAAGTTGTTAAAGACATTTAAGAGACGAGTTGAGTTGGATTCGTTACGAAATCCCGAACCTATCCGTTTTTGTAAAGGATTCTTCTTCTTCATCGTGATCTTCTCTCACTCCGAGAGTCTCTCTTAAAATTGCATAACTTATACGTCGTCGGTTTGCTCTTTCTTTCTTCATTCTTTAGCGCGCGAGTTCGTTTTCTTTTGAGGATACCCACCGGTCGGCCTTAACCCAAATTCGCGATCTCGTACAGCACATACATATTTACGTAATATCTACTACGACCGTTGGTTAAGAAAATAATAAAAAAAGAAATTGTTTATAATCAAATTTAACAAAATTAGTTTTTTATAAATGTTACTACGCAGATTATTATTACACTCTAAATAGGAAAAGGAAATTATCATGAAAATGACTTGAATTGAGAGTAGATAGCGACAATCGTTTTCATTAATACTTGAAACGAACGGTGTCTTATATTAAAACCGTATGTAAATAACTGTTCCACAACAATATTAACATAATTTACCGTACACTGCGTTATTATATTTTAAAACAGCACTTTAATTACGTAAGTGAATCGAATGCACGTTCTCATTTTATCTGTATCAATTAAAACAAATTAACTGTAAAAATTCAATAATACATAGATATCTCCTATGCTTAACATTAACTAATTACACCATCAAGAGAACTTGTTTCCTTCTTTCTATTTCATCCAAAAAAGTCCTCATCATCAATCCTATTAGATTAACAATAAGTGGTCGGCAGACTAGAAGAGTCATTAAGAGAGAAAAAGCCATTGTCCTTCTCTTCCTCCTAAGTAGTCAAGTTTAAAATCCCGCGCGCCGGTATCAAAGCCAGACAAGGTCATTCCAATAGACCGAGCCGAATAGGCTTACGTCGTCGCGTTTTTAAACGGAAACGAGAAACCGTCTGGACGATTGGATTCGTCTGCAAGACTGACTTCCGGATGTGTTGTTGTTGGTGTGTCTGCGCGAGTCTTTTTAAGTCCCTCGCCGACGACGACTATGTATATCTACGTAGATACACCTCCGCGTGCATACAAATTTCGTATAATTATCTACTACCTGTTGAATATAATGTGTGTTGTGGTGATTCGGTTCGGGAAGTTTATGTACCATGACAAATCTCTATAGGGTGGTCTTAAGACGTGTTCGTTCGAATTGTTGGGGGTTTCCGCTCCGATACGTTTTAAATTTGAGTTTCAAACTGTAAATTTTAAATTCCTCAGAAAGTTTATTAAAAGTCAAGAAATCACCAGAAGGTTGGGTTGAAAGATAAAGAAATGATTTTTATATCAAATTAAATCTTGAACTTTGCTCTTTAAAACGGTGTATAATAACATAATAAGCATTAGGTTAAACACTAAAATATAGGGTGTTTCTGTAAGTCGTGGCATAATTTTAATTACAAATACTAGAGTCAAAACGAATCGTCATTCGTGTAAACATTTTTGATCAAAATTAAGAAAATTTTAAACATTTTCTTAAATATTTTCAATATGGTTTGTCTTAAGGTCACTTTACAGTTCGCAAGTTTCATTGCTGGCAAGAAATATTGCAGTTTTAAAGAAATAACCTTTGTGAACACCCTGTATGGCATTGATCCCGTTGTTTGATATTTCCAATAGTGATCTTAAACGATTTTTTATAACAACATTGCACTGTTTGCCAAATTTTGTCTTTCTAAGACAAACCATATTGAAAATATTTAAGAAAATATTTGAAATTTTGAAGGCCCATATCTTACCCATTTATAGGTTTAGACCAAAAATTTTTATGCAAATCGTCATCATTTTAACTCTAGTATTTGTGATTAATTATGCCATGACTTACAGAAACACTCTGTATAAAACATTTCCCAATAAAATGATATACAATAAGCTGTAAATAAAACTAGAAATAAGTTTAGAAATCACACAATTTTGACATCACAAATAGTTTTCGTCTGCATAAAAATGTTATTATTTACTACCATATTAATTTATGGCCGCATGAAAACGTAATTATAGAATTAAATACGTAGAAACAATACTATTCGTTTCATAAATAGTTTCTACAAACCCACGTGTTTCGATAACGACCACGTGTCTATTACAATCAAAGTAATACAACAAGAATGCATAAAAAATGTTACTTACAATACAGAAAACGTATCATTAACTGTTCTTATTTAAAAAGAAGGCGTGACCTTGATTTTGTTATGATCAAAAAAGTGTTGAAATTATTTCCTATACGTTGACTATTTTTACTTTTCACATTTCCTCGATCTAAAAACCGTTCAAAATTCAATGGAAATCGTTTGAGATAAGTTAAAATTCTTAGAAATCACTTTGCATTTTAAAATAAATATAAAATGATTGAAATTCTTTTCTATTGAATTTTTAATCTCGTCTAGTGGCAGGTAGAAAGAAGAGTTAAAAAATTGGGTGAACGACCCCTGCATATTCGAAGACACCCAAAAAAATAAATTAACCCTTTAAAAGCTTAAACATTTTTTATTAGGCAGTTATAATGATTTTTGGGGGTTTTATAACATTTAATTTTACTGGGTCACGGCCAAAATAACACACCCTAAAACGAACGGGATCGATAAAGAATGAAACTTACTTTGCTCTTGTGAAAAGAATTCGCAAACGATCGTCTTCCGTTACAAATCTATTAAAAAATAAAGATTTAGGTTTGATCAAAGCGAAAGACCGCTATATTGTTGAAAATCACGCGGTTATATGGGGGTGTGATGGAG